GGATGTGGGAGCTGGTGGACCTTGTTGTGGTTCATAGTGGCCACGTCTGTAGCACGTATTGGTCGCTTGAGGAGCTCTGGCTCAGAGTTGATGAGCTGGAGTCTGAGGTTCAAACACTGCGACACATCAGGGAGGGGGTGAGTTACCGGGACGCTGTGCTTCAGGAGGCAGTCACACTCCTTACAACAGAAACAAAAACAGAAGTTGCTGCAAAAGCTCAGCAGGTCTGTCAACATCTGTGAAGAAAAAAATCAGAGTTAATGTTTCGGGTCCGGTGACCCTTCCTCAGAACTGATGGTGGCTGGGAAAACATCAGCTGAAATGTAGAAAATGGGGAGGGGGGGGTGGGGTAGGAAGTAAACAATAGGATAGAACCTAAAGGGAGAGAAGTGAAGCCACTATCGGAGAACCCACAGATGACGTCACATCCGCCACCGCCGGGTTCCCCACTTCCGGGACAGCAAGCACCATCGCTGCCGTTGCCACCGACACTGAAGTCGCAACCACCCTCACCGCTACTGCCGCCGCCCACCCCGCTCCTCCTACCTCCGACGCCGGTCCGCCCATCACCGACGCGGACGCAACTCCACCCACCGCTGGCGCAACTCCGCCCACCGCCGACGCAGCTCCGCCCACAGCCGACGCCGGCACAACTCCGCCCACCGCCAACGCAACTCCGCCCACCGACGACGACGCTCCGCCCACAGCCGACGCCGACACAGCTCCGCCCACAGCCGACGCCGACACAGGTCCGCCCACAGCCTCCGCAGCCAGCACCTCCAGAGGAGACAGCAGCACCCAGCCCTGCCGAGTCTTCACCATCCCCCCAGACCTACCCCTTACTGAGGACGAATGGTCAGTCCTCAGTAAAGGGCTCACCTTTGTCCCCCTCCACCCACAGATCAACGAATATCGCTCACGCTTGGACATAGAGCAGTTTTTCCGCCGCCTCCGCCTCCACGCTTACTTCTTTAACCGTGAACCTAACCCTCCCTCTCCTGACCCTTTCTCCCGCTTCCAACACACCCCCTCCTCCTGGACACCACCCCAAGGCCTCCTACCCTCCCTCGACCTCTTCATCTCCAACTGCCGTCGAGACATCAATCGCCTCAACCTCTCCACCCCTCTCACCCACTCCAACTTCTCCCCCACAGAACATGCAGCCCTCCGCTCCCTCCGCTCCAATCCCAACTTCACCCTAAAACCCGCGGACAAGGGAGGTGCAGTTGTAGTATGGCGCACTGACCTCTACATCGCCGAGGCCGGACGCCAACTCTCCGACACCTCCTCCTACCGCCCCCTTGATCAAGACCCCACCCCTGAGCACCAAACCATCATCTCGCAAACCATCCACAACCTCATCACCTCAGGTGACCTCCCACCCACGGCCTCCAACCTCATCGTTCCCCAACCTCGCACTGCCCGCTTCTATCTCCTTCCCAAAATCCACAAACCTGAATGCCCTGGTCGACCCATTGTCTCCACCTGCTCCTGCCCCACCGAACTGATCTCCAACTATCTCGACTCCATCTTCTCCCCCTTGGTCCAGGAACTCCCTACCTATGTCCGTGACACCACCCACGCCCTCCACCTCCTCCAGAACTTCCAATTCCCCGGTCCCCAACACCTCATCTTTACCATGGACGTCCAGTCCCTCTACACCTGCATTCCCCATGCAGATGGCCTTAAGGCCCTCCGCTTCTTCCTGTCCCGCAGGCCCGACCAGTCCCCCTCCACTGACACCCTCATCCGCTTAGCCGAACTCGTCCTCACACTCAACAACTTCTCTTTCAATTCCTCCCACTTCCTACAGACAAAGGGGGTAGCCATGGGTACCCGCATGGGCCCAAGCTACGCCTGCCTCTTTGTAGGTTACGTGGAACAATCCCTCTTCCGTACCTACACCGGCCCTAAACCCCACCTCTTCCTCCGTTACATTGATGACTGTATCGGCGCCGCCTCGTGCTCCCACGAGGAGCTCGAACAGTTCAT